TACGATATTACTTTGTTAAATTATCTAATTATTAAAAATTATAAAATAATTATCTGATTATAAGACGACGATTTGTTGAGTTTTTGTACTATTAAAAGTTATAAAATGTTCATTCAACTATTCATATGTTTCAAACTTGTATTTTTTTTGTTAAAAAATAACGGCAATCTAAGTTTAATATTAATTTGCTGATTGAGATATAGTAAAATCTGAGCTCGTGATCTCAAACAACTATCATATCTTAGTTAACATGTTAACATCCAACTCCGACGAAAGTTAAATTTTTAATAAAAAATGATGAATTTGAAACATAATGAATAATATGTTATTATTTTATAACTTTTAATAATCGATAAACTAACAAGGTAATAAGTTACATGATATTTCTAAGTCATAAGAAAAGACTAAAGATACAAATCTTTAAATATAATTAAAGACACCAATATTAAATGCACCCAACTACGTTATGTTGTCTTTATGATTATCTATGAAAATAATTCCGAGTTTGAGTAGTTTCATATGTAGAAGAGAATATTATATTTCTTGAATATTTGCACTCGAAAAACTATGTCAGTAAGATGTGTATGTATTATTAATAGGCTAAGAAATCATATATATATATATATATATATATATATATATATTACTTTGTAATAAACTCATATTATTAAAAGTTATAAAATGGCCACACAACTATTTATATGTTTTAAACTCGTTATTTTATGTTAAAAAATTAACAGCAAACTAAATTGAATATTAACCTACTGATTGATATATAATAAAATGTGAGCACATGATCTCAAATGACTATCATATCTTAGTCAACATGTTAACATCCAACTCAGACGAAAGTTAATTTTTTTAATAAAAAAGATGAATTTATAATATAATGAATAGTCAGTAATCATTTTGTAACTTTTAATAGTTGAGAGACTCAACAAAATAATACATAATTAAAGGATCGTTTTATAACTTTTAATAATCGACGACTCAACAAAATAATAAGTTATATGATATTTCTAAGTCATAAAAAAAACAAAAGATACAAATCTTTAAATATAATTAAAAAAACCAAATCAATATTAAATGCACCCAACCACATTATGGTGTCTTTATGATTATCTATGAAAAAAATTCTTTGAGTTCGAGTAGTTTCAGACGTAGAAGAAAATATTATTTATCTTGAAAATTTGTATTTGAAAAATTACGTCAGTAAGATGTGTATGTATTAATAATAGATTAAGAAAATTCTACATAGATATTACTTTGTAATAAATTAATATTATTAAAAAATAATTCTCTCTATAATTTTTTGGAAGTTGCTCATGGTCTATCTCAAATATAGATGTTCAATCGATAGAGTTGTACACATGATTTTTTTGTTAAGAGTAAATTTATAAAATTTTATAAATTTTAAAGATAGATAAATGTATAAAATCGATAGACAAATTTATAAAATTTTAAAGATAGACAAATGTATAAAATTTTAAACAATCAAAAATAATTTTTTTAATAAAAATACAAATAAAATATTTAATTTTTTTTTTGAAATTTAAGATACGAAGCCCCTCCATCCATCCCTGAATATTAGGTAGGACATGATTTGTCTCAAATAAAATGTTTATAATCATGAGAACCAAGCTTATGCACGACGTTAATATATTTTAAAGTTCGGTACCTAAAATATACGCTTTAAATTTTATCTAAAATTGATCATATTTATAAATAATTAAACCAAACTTGTTTTAGGTTTGCTATTATTAAAAAAAAATTAATGCTATTTTTAACTTATCATTTAATAGTTATATATATTATATTAAAATATTAAATATATATTATTTAACAAACAATTTAATGTTTATATTATAGAATATAAGGGTAAACAAAACTCGAATCGACTCGAAAAATTAATTTTTTTACTTGACTCGACTCGAATTGACTTTGAGTTATAATTTCATAAATCCGACTTGAAAACTTTAAAGTTCAAATCAAATTATAAAATACAACTTGAATAACTCAATTTTTTTAGTATTTAGTGAATTGATTTTCAAGTCTAAGTTGAGTCACTCGACCTTATATGATATATGTATATCACATATAAAAAAAATGAAGAAATATATATATATATATAGTTATAAAAAATCATTTAAATTGAAATAAAATAGTAGCATAATATTTTAAATATTTACAATTAAATTTAAACAGAAACTCAAAAACTCAACTCGAAAAAATTTCAAATCAAGTTCGAACTATAAATATGACTCATCAACTCAAACAACTTAAGTTTTTTTTGACTCTACTTGACTCGATCGAACGCTCACCCTTAATAGAATCATATATTATTAAGTTTATTTTTTATGTGATATAAATTACGTAATATATAATAATAATATAATATATTACAAACTTAGAAAACATAACGAATTTACTACAACCAAATAGGTTTGTAGCGGCGGTTTTAATGGAGTTTTTGGAGGAAATGCAACTAATTTTATACATATAGTGATATTTTTATACAAACATCCGATAAACTGATATATAGTGTTGTTTTTGGAAAAACACTGTTACAAACATGTATTTTAATGACATTTATGTAAAAATATCGTTATAGACTGATATACAGTGACGTATGTTGTGAATCCATCATTTGAGAAGCATCCAAAGCAGTTTGGCATTGAGAAGCACTTCCTCCAAAGGAGAATTTGCATCGATTTGTGAAGTGACCTAAGGTTGTTCGCATTCAAAGGAAAAAGAGGATCCTTAAGTAGAGATTGAAAGTCCCTAAACCAATTTATCAAGATCCTTGATAAAGAACCTTAAGCAGGCTCAAGCGTAAAATCCACCATCTTAGACGATTTTTAGGTTCATGTTTTGTTTATTCTAGTGAACATATTAAACTACATTTCATTTTAAAATTTGTAAACTTTGATTTATTTATTTTATTAAGTATTTCTATTTAATTTATGGCTTAATTAAATTTTAAGTTTGTTGTTATTTGATAATGCTATAAGATATTAAATTTGGGAAATACAAAGAAGTAAAACAATATTTGCCAAATCAGTTTTGTTTAGCGACGTTTGTAAAAAAAAACCAAAATTCACGTTGTTTTGTGGCGTTTGGAGGTAAAACGCCACTAATGACATACACATTTGCGGCTTTTGTCCGCTAAAACGCCACTATATATGTAGTCAATAGCGACGTTTTCAACAAAAAATGCCACTACATATCCCAACATATAGCGGTGTTTGGGGGAACAAATACAAGGTAATTAGCTGCACTAGACAACAAACGCCGCTATATATCACGACAATTAACGCCGCTAAAGAACTCAACCTTTTGCGGCGTTTTATTTTTACAAACACCGCTAACTATTGTGGCGTTTGTTTTAACTGCGCTTCTTACAACGCTCTTTCTAGCGCAAGGAGGGTTTGTAGCGGCGCTTAAAAACACCGCTACATACATATTTTACTGTAGTGATTGAACTCAAGCTTTTAATATTATAATCCAAACCTAACTCATACTTTACACTAGAGTTGATGTTTCTTTTTATAGACTTAATATTTTTATTTAAATTCTTTTGAATTGACATAATGCAAACAAATACCACTAACGTTTGACAATATTGTAAAATTTGTCCGTAGTTTTTTGGAACATTTGACTCCCAAATTTCATTTTGGGTCAAAAAAACATCTTCGTTGGATGGAAACCGTTAGTCAACTAACGATCAACGCATGGTGCTGATTAAGCAAGAACACGAGGACCCAGATGCTGATGTGGCTTGTCCAGGTCATGATAGATGACGACTTGGCACCACAACGTTAGATTTTTAAATAAAATTTAAAATATTATTCTTAATATTTATATATTTAAACCAAACAAAACATGTTTTTGTGGGGAGTTAAACCTGGGCCAACTGCTTGAAATCCCATCACCTAACCACCAACCAAATAGTTCATTTGTTTACCTTCTGCATTACAAAATATTTAACATAACTCACACTTTATCAAACACTTCTCCATCCCCTCTTCACATGTAATTTCTTCTCATTTTATGAAACTCTTAACTATGTGGTTTTACACGTAAATAAATAAATAATTAACACTATCTGCTCATAAAAGATTTAAGCTATCAATCTAGAAGGCAGTGACACAATTCATTGACCAAACACGATAATGATTCAAGCAAGCAAAACTACAACTGATATATTTTGATCCGATCAACTTGTTTCAGCTAACCATGTCAAGTAAACCACAAGCTATGATCTTTGTGTGATCTAGTAGTATATTAAATAATTTAAGTCACATTCCACTGCAATAGTTATCTTTTAATCAGGGAAAATTACCCAGCAAGCAAAGAATTTCGCAGATGCAAAGCACAAATTAGCATGCAGCAAAAAAAACCCATCCAAACTAAATCTTGCATCGTGTTCGAAAAAGGGTACTGAAAAATACAACTTAGCTGCAAATGAATTCAAAATAGGTAAATATTTATTGAATATTGCTCTTCTATTGCAGCCAGATTTTTAGAAGCAAAGGAGGAGATTGCAGGTTTGAGGGAAATGTTTACGGCTATGGATACCGATAACAGCAGTGCAATCACATTCGATGAACTCAAAGCTGGCTGCGAAGATATGGTTCAACCATGAAGGATACAGAGATAAAGGCCCTTATGGATGCTGTAAGATTGTTGTGAAACAAATATCGGAAGTCGGAACATCAGTTTCATGTTCTTTTGTGTGTGTGTTTTTTTCTTGTTCCTGCCCTTCTTTCAACCATGACGGATATAGAGATAACAATCTGAGCTCCTTTTTCTGTTCCCAGGCTGATATCGACAATAGTGGCACCATCAATTATGGAGAATTTATAGCTGCAACAGTTCAACTTAATAAACTAGAGCGCGAGGAACATCTCGTTGCAGCGTTCCGATACTTCGACAAGGACAGAAGTGGATATATTACAGTGGACGAGCTTCAACAAGCTTGTGCAGAACATAACATGACCGATGTCTTGCTCGAGGATATTATCAGAGAGGTTGATCAAGACAACGTACGTCATTTCGCCTGCACAACCGAATGGCAACAATATTCTCAAGCTAACTAGTTTATTTCATTCATAATTGTTTCCAATTTTGTGACTTGTGCTTCATTTCAGGACGGAAGAATCGATTACGGTGAATTTGTTGACATGATGAAGAAAGGAAATGGTTGGATCGTTAGACGAACCATGCGAAACAGTATGAATGTGAGCATGAAGGATGCACCCGGTTCTCATTAGTTTCCATCCGCAAACATCTTGTACTGGTATCTTTGAACCGTCTCTTTAATCCACTTTTCGGTTTCGAGAAGTTATGTTTAGGTTATAAATCCGATTCGTAGACATTCCGTCTCACTAGTCACTACTACTAGCCTGAAAATTCTAATGACCTACAATGGTGTTTCCATAGCTATGCTTTTAGATACCACCATGACAGCAAATACAAGTCCATAGAGTTTCTTTGTGCAAGTGGAAGCGGCATTGCAAATCAATGAAATGAAAATTGTCAATTCCGATGAAAGAAAAACCCGGTTTTCGTCGTTGTTTGCCGGAGTTTTTAGACCATTTGCTAATTTATATGATAGTTGGAAGCTTCCCCTTTATTTTGCAGTCCTGAAAACTGAGATTTTGCATTGTTGTTGGCAGATTGTAGAGCAAATCAACAAGAAGAAGATGGTCAGTTTGACAAAGCTTTGAAGCGATGGGGTTCTTCCAGAGCCATATAAGATATTTTCGGATCTCCAAACGAAATTAAAAAAAGAGAATAATTTGAGTGATCGAAAATGCCTTATAATATATTATTTTAATTAATTTTTTTGGGTTTGTAAAAATAACCAACGAATTCGCAATTCAATTTCGAATTTGCATCACGAAAGCCAAATTCGCAACACAATTTTCGAATTCGCAACAAGAATTTACATTTCGCAATATGAATTTTTCAAATTCGCAACTCGAATTCAGATTTCGCAACTCGAATTCGCCAATTTCGCAACTCAATTTTACCGAGTTTACCTATATAGGTAATTATAACCGGTCAAAATAATGACGTTTTCAGTTATTTTTTACCGGTTTTGTTATTTAAAATAATAACAAAACAGGTACACCTTATTTTAGCGGTACCAGTTTTGTTATTATTTTAAATAACAAAACCGGTAAAAATAACCGAAAACATCATTATTTTGACCGGTTATAATTACCTATATAGGTAAACGTGGTAAAATTGAGTTGCGAAATCTGAATTCGAGTTGCGAGTTTTAAAATTGAGTTGTGAATTTAATAAATTTGTGTTGCGAAATGTAAATTCTTGTTGTGAATTCGAAAACCGGTTATAATTACCTATATAGGTAAACGCGGTAAATTTAGTTGCGTAATTGGCGAATTCGAGTTGCGAATTTGGTAAATTCTTGTTGCGAATTCAAAAAATGTGTTGTAAATTTGGCTTTCGTGTTGCGAATTCGAAATTGAGTTGCGAATTCGTTGGTTATTTTGGCAAACCCAAAAAAAATTGGTTAAAATCATATTTTATAAGGTATTTTTGGTCACTCAAATTATTTTCTCTTTAAAAAATATACCCCTATAAAACAAAAGTATACCATATTACTTTAATAACTAATTTAATATTATTTTAATAAATTATAGAAAAATAATTAAATTTTGTAAAATATTATTTTTATTGTTTTGTTAAAACCCCATTTTAAAATTTAAATACAACTAAAAGAAAAAAAATTGAGATACCAAAGGGTTCATGTTAATTATTTATTTATGTGTAAAATCATATAGTTACGAGGTACAAAAAAAGGGAGAAAAAATTACATATCAAGAGGGATGAATAAGGTATTAAAAAATGTGTGAGGTACAAGTTTGATAATGCTGTCAAACGTTATAGATATTTATTTTCACTATGTCTTTTAAGTTTTAGGCGAGAGACTTCGAACTTAGGTGTGTACCTTAAATTTTGAATTGGTCTAGTCTAAAAGTATTCATATATGTGGTTTTTTACCCATGCAAACCGTTTTTAAAAATATTTATGAAATAATACCCTCTCAAGATTATTTACAGAAATAACACTCTTATTGTGCGAGATAAGCAAAGAGGCGACATGTCTGATAAGGTACATTTTTGCCGTATGTGGCACTGGAAAGTTAGAAGGGTGCATCAAAGGTTTTTTATGGGTTAAGAAGGCTAATATGTACATATGAATATTGATACATTATACCATTGTGACAATATCAATACTTAAATAAGAGTTTTGATATCGTATATGTATGATCATTTTTAGGAATTTCAAATATAGGATTGGCCTGTCGTATTCGTTATGTTAATTGATTTCATGTACCTTAAATTATGTTTTTGTTTCTTTTACTCATTTTAGTCCTTAAAATATTATTAATTGTAAGGGTAAACTATGCTAATAGTTTTATTTATTTTCAATCTTTAGTCACTAATTTTTTAAAGGGTAAACTACGTCAATGGTCACTGATGTTTGGATAAGTTTTCGTTTCATCACTAATGTTTCAAAAGTTACAAATCGGTCACTAATGTTATCGTTTGTGATAAAATGATCACTAGCCGTTAACAGCCATTAAGAGGCGTGACGAAAAATACAACTGAACCGTTATCTGCTGAGTTGGATTGTTGACCGCCATTTTGACTGGCTCTTCTTCTTCTTCTTCAACCCATTCCCCAACTTCTTTTTCTTCACTTTTCTTCTTATTTCTTTCTCTTCACTTTTCAGTCTTTTGCTTACTTGATAAAGGTTCCTTTGCTCATTGGCTATCTTCTTACTGTTACAGGTATGCATTTTTATTTTCCTATGTAATGTAGGCAATAGGGGGTAAAAATCTTGTGTCAAATGTTGTGAATGATGCCTTGGCTTCATTGAAGAAAGGTAAAGGAGAGGATATTTCAAATTATGTGTTTGAGGATTTTCAACAGCTAGTGGAGTACACGATGCTGGAGATGATTAGCGTGCTTAGAGAGGTTAAACTGTCTCTATCAATTGCAGAAGCAATGCGGTGGTTGTTAATGTTTAACCTAAACATTTTGATGGCTTGTGAAGTAGAAGGAGATATATTCTGTAATGTTGGGTGCAAAGAAATCTTGGGGGAGAACTCCTCTGACTCTATCCCCCAGTTGAGACCAAAATCAAAAAACCCATAAACCATTCTTCCATGCCCAAATGCTCACCATGTTTTAAAACCATGTTCTCATTAGAAAAGAAGAAAAGTGAAGAAAATTAAAGAGAAAGAAAGAAGAAGAAAAGTGAAGAAAAAGATGGGGAATGGGTTGAAGAAGAAGAAGAGTAAGTCAAAATGGAGGTCAACGATCCAACTCAGCAGATAACGGTCCAGCTGTATTTTCCGTCACGCCTCTTAACAACTGTTAACGGCCAGTGACCATTGTGTCACAAACGATAATGTTAGTGACCGATTTGTAACTTTTGAAACATTAGTGGTGAAAACGAAAACTTACCTAAACATCAGTGACCATTGGCGTAGTTTACCCTTTTTTAAATAAATGCACTTGGTTCTTAATGTTTTGTTCGGTTTAAGTCATTAAGTAGTTAACTCATTAATGTAAATATGAGTTGATAATTAAAAATTAAAATAAAAATCCACTTCAATTCTTCTTCTTCTGATACAATAAAATTTAGGTTCGGGATGACCTCCTGTTCGGGGCTAGGGCATACTTAAGATCAAATTGGAATTTACATATGAATTTACCTATTACCCACCAAGAGTGATGGTTATAAGATTCGAACTTGTACAAACTCAAATTCTTGAATCTAATACTCATTGGTTCTTATTCTTTAACCCCCAGTTTTCAACTGCTTTTGCCAAGAAGAAAACCCATATTTCAAGCCTTTTTCTTTCAAACTTCTTGCTCTTCTGCTCTTACATTCTTTCTAATCCTCTCTGCTTCTCTTACTTTATCTTATTCTCTCCTTATCTCTTCAATATTTTCTCTTTTCTTTCGTCGTTCTTGTCACCACTTCCCTTTTGGTTCTTGCATTATTTATGATATTAAAGTCCCTAGTAGTCTACGATGAAAGTGATGGCTTACCGTGCTTGGAAGAACTTGAAGCGTATAAGATCGTGTTTGAAACTACAACCATTATGGAAATTAGAGAAAATTCGGATGCAATTTTAGAGACAGAAGTCCTTGTTGATTGCTTACAAGCTGTTGATGAAGTTGACGATGCTTCGGAGTTCGGTTCACAACAAAGAAACATTGGCGAATGGTACTTCCGATGAAGAATCAGCGGAGATTTCACGTCCAGAAACTGTTCAGGTAAATGTTGTAGTTAAGATCTTTGAACTTTGAAGAGTTTTTGAAAGAAAAAGATGGGGTTGAAAACTGATCGTCTAAAGTGGGAGAAAAAGATGAGGAATCCAAGGCAATGGGGAGTAAAGTAAGTGATCTCGAGGCTACAGTGGGAACTGAAAATCGAGGGGAGCTTGGCAACAAAGCAATGGTGAATTCCCAAAGCATTGACAACGAAACCAAGGCGTTTAGTTATTTGGGGTCAATGAGAAAAGAAAAGGAATGAAAGAGGACATTGGCATGCAAGCTTTTCGAGGAGAGACACAAGGTGACGATGGCGAATGGAGGTGGTGAAGGAATGGAAATTGGAAGTTGTAACTGCAACATTTTAGTATCAACCTTTTGTTTTACTAGATTTATCATTTACCTGCCTTCGATGTACAAACTATTGACCAACAGATATTACTTTGATTTTGTTTGTTGAACAGGCCTGGATTACAAAAGTAGCTTTCCATGTGAAGTCAGTTGATGGAAACCACTTACTAGAAGCTGGTTTAGAAGGGTTTTATACGTAAGAACTAGGTTCTGTTAGTTTAGAAGAAATTTATCAGGTACAATGTTTTTTGGTATTTGAAGAAGGGCACACCTAACGTTCAGATTGGGAGAAGCTGATGCATGTTATATGTTGCAGGCACTAGTGATCCACTGGGAAGAATGTTGAACAACTCGAGAACTCGTAATGAATTAGGATGGGAGCCAAAATATCGTAGCTTTGCTCACTTCCTCGGAGTTTCAGAATAACTCATGCCTTCATCTTTGTTGCCAGAATTAGGGGTAAGCAATTGATCGATTTGAATCTAGTAAAAAAGTTTGAGTTATTCAAATTGATTAATTGTATTTTATAACTTGAATAATTCAAAATTGAAAAAAAAAATCAATTTTTTCGAGACTCACCAAAATATAATGGACGAAACTCAATTCAGTTTGAATATATTATTCTTTGCCTGGATACTGTTGTGCCTTTTTTTTTTCACTCTCCAATAGATGCTGGCAAATACTTGTTCATGTACGGTTTCCAAACATTCACTTCAGTGTTAATAATAAAAATTTATACAGTGGAACACTTGAGTTGTATATTAGTCTACAATAGATTTCTTTTGTATAATTGCTAATATTCGATTCATTAGTCTACTAATCTGAATCAAATACAGTAAAAGCCTATCATGGAGATGCCCCTCCCCATCGTTCAAACCAGTCCTTGTTCATTGGTCTGCTTGTGGAATTAATAATGGATATCTGAACTTGTAAAACCTCATGGATAGCTCATTGGAGAAGTACACCCAGCACGTCATTGTCGTCCGCATTCGGAATCCATGGAACCATCTACCGAGCTTCCACCATTTGAAATAAACTT